ATCCTTGGGGTTTCCTGGCCAGCCAGCCTAACCTAATTGAGAAACCCCATTCTCAGTGAGGGATTCTGTCTCATAAAACAAGGGCCGGAGAGATGGCTCAGTGCTTAAGAGTACGGGCTGCTCTTTCAGAGGACCCAGATTCCATTCCCAGCACCCACACAGCAGCTCACTACCGTCTGTAAACTCCAGTTCCAGGGAACCTGACGCCCTCTTCTGGCCTCCTCTGGCACCAGGCAATATATGATGCACATACACACATACAAATAGGACAGTCATCCACATAAAATAAAAATAAATAAGGTTAAAAAAAAAAAAGGCGAACAGCTCCTGAAGAATGAAACCCAAGCCGGGGCTGCACAGTGAGAGAAACCAGGCTGGGATAGAGCAGGAAGCTTCCTCCCTGCTGGGCAGCTTTCACACTGCCAGAAGGTGCAACGTCCCCTGCTAGGAAAGAAAAAGTCACCCATGATCTTACCCAGCTGTGAACCGTGTGTGCTACGATGCCCACCTACCAGGCAAGACGTCCCCTTTGGCACAACAGAGGATGTGACTGTTATGTGGTTAACCAGCCACTTTGTGATTGGATCTGAGGCCAGCTCTACAGGAGGGAATCCCCACCTGGTACTGCAAACCTTGTCTAAAGCCCAGGGTACAGGTCATAGGCCCTAGGGGGAAACCTACTAGTGTTGTGTTGCTACATGGACACGGTATCCTACTGCCTTCTAAATCACAATATTTATAAGCACAGATTAGTGTTGCTCGCAACCTTGGTCAGAGAGGCTCCTTTTGCTCTGGGCAATGACTAATGCAGAGATTCCCAGCAGAAGAGAGGATGCAAAAAATGTAAGAGCTGGAGGATGGGGGAGGGGCTGTAAAAAAAAAAGTCTCCAGACTTCACGTGTCATTGCACTCGTGAACTCTCAGAACAAGAGCGGCTCAAGGTGGAGTCAGTCCACACTGCATCAGGGACAGGGGAGGGCTCCTGTCCCCGAGGGACCCTTGGGTGTTAAAGGTTGCTGGAGGATGAGGAATGATTTCTTTTCTTCAGTGGTCTAGCCCATGCACCAGTAAATAACTCCCCACAAATGCTCAAGCAAGCAAGCCTTATTAAACTTAGCAAGTCCCAAATAAACAAACAAAACAGATGTGAAATGGGGGGGACTTGTTGAGAAAAGACTGGGGTTCATAAGAGGGGCAGAGAAGGGGAGGGGAGGAGGTAACGGGCTGAAAATGGCCCAAATACATTGTATACATGTATGGAATTATCAAAAAATATTACTTTTTGTTTGTTTGTTTATTTGTTTGTTTTACAAGACAGGGCTTCTCTGTATTGTTTTGGAGGCTGTCGGTCCAGCCCGGCCTCAAACTCACAGAGATCCGCCTGCCTCTGCCTCCCGAGTGCTGGGATTAAAGGCGTGCGCCACCACTGCCCAGCCAAAAATTAATACTTTAAAAATACATCTTCTCAAGCAGATGATGAGGACCAACATCTGATTTGTCTTCTGACTCCACTCATACACTGTGGTACAGACACACCCACATCACTTGTGAAGGTGTACACACACACACACACACACACACACACACACACACACAAAGATAAATAAATGCACATATTACAGTGCTTGCAGCCTGGGTCACAAAGCTAATTGAGGCCAGGCTCAACTACATAGTCAGACCTCATCTCAAAAAAATGAATGACTCTGAACTGGTCTCCCTGCACAACACCACCACCAAGGACTGGGGTTCCAGGCACGCTCCACCATGCCTGCTTGACTCTTACAGAGTGCAGAATGAGAAGTGTTGCCACAGAAGCAGGGCAAGTGAAGAAAGGAGGAACCCCGAAACAGAGACAGGAAGTCAGACTATCCCTGTCTGCACATGACACTACGCTATACACAGAAAAACTCAAGACTTCAGTCCAAAAGTGTTAGAAGTGGCAAATTCAGTAAGGTTACAAAATATAAAACTAGCAATTAGCTCTTTTCTACACCAATACTGAAATTGCTGGAAGGCGAATCAAGACCCATTCTCACTCACAATAGCTGCCAAAAATAAGGCCCCTGAAATAAATGTGAACAAGGAAATTAATAATTTCTACAATTAAAATCACAAAATAACACTTAAGGCTAAAGAGGATACTACACACACATATACATACACACACACACATGAAAACTAAAGAGGATACACACACACACACACACACAAGGAGCCAGGCAAGATGGGGTCTTGATCCTTTGATCCTAGTACTTGGGTACAGAGGTAAGTAGATTTCTGTGAGTTGGAGGCCAGCCTGGTCTACACAGAGTTCCAAGACAGACAGGGCTATATAGAGGGATCTTGTCTTACAAAACAAAAAAAGAAGATGAGGAGGGAGAAGCAAAGGAAGGAAGAGAGGGAAGGAGAGAGGGAGGGAAGGAGAGAGAGAGAGAGAGAGAGAGAGAGAGAGGGAGGGAGGGAGGGAGGGAGGGAGGGAGGGAGGAGAAATGGTCATGGATTAGAGAGCAGTGCTAAAATGTCTGTATTACACAAAACAACCTACAGAGTCAGTAGAGAATACACAATGCCAATTCTTCACAGAAGGGGAAACAATCACAACGGAACAGGCTCCACAGCAAAGCAAAGACCTGAGTTCAAATCTTCAGAGCCCACACACACATCTAGGCAGGGTCACACTGTCAGTGGCAGACACAAAAAACATCACCAGGCTTGCTGGCCACCAGCTTCAATCCAGGTTCAGAAAGTCACCCTGTCTCAGTGTACCTCGGTGGACTAAGGTAGACAGGAGAGATCAGAACTCCTGACATCTCCCTCTGGTTTCTGCTAGTGTACCAGTTTTCTGTTTTTAAATCACAAAATTCACAGGGGGTGGGGGATTTGCTTAATAGCTAGAGAAATCCTGAACATGAATGAAACTCAGGAGACAGAAGCAGGTTTGAAGCCTGCCTAGTCTACGCTGCAAGATCCAGGCCAGAAAAAGTTACACAGTGAGAGCCTGTCTTAATTTTTAAAACTAATAAGATAATAAAAATTTTTAAATGATAAAAATTTTAAAAAGTAGCCCGGTGTTGGTGGCGCAAGCCTTTAATCCCAGCACTCGGGAGGCAGAGGCAGGAGGATCTCTGTGAGTTCCAGGCCAGCCTGGTCTACAGAGCGAGTTCCAGGACAGCCTCCAAAGCAATGCAGAGAAGCCCTGTCTCGGAAAAAAAAAAAAAAAAAAAGAGGAGGAGGAGGGGGTAAGGGAAGGGTTACCGGAACCTGGGAAGGGGAAAGGAAGTCAAGGGGTGGGGATAGGATGATTGACAGCACAGGGGTGCAACTGGGAGCGACAAGTAACTACGACGATTCTACAGCGTGGTCAGACGGTGGTTGACAACAATTTATTGAATGTTTCAGAATAGCTGAGAGGATTTGAACATTCCCAACACAGAGAAATGATGACACGCCTACCTACGAGATGGCAGCAGTGGCAGCTCCACGGCTGATCACCCGTGCTGTGCACACGGGTTAAAATGCCACACTGGGGCTGGAGAGACGACTCAGCCCTTAGACGCCACGCGCACCCCACAGTACACACAGCCACCATGTGCCAATACATGTATAGCTAAAAACCATTCGTGAGCCAGGCACAGCGGCCCACGCCTACAGCCTAGTGCTTCAGAGGCTGAGCCATGAAGAGGCCAAGTTCAAGGTCAGACTGGATAACGTGGTGAGTTCCAGGTCAGTCTGTGCTATACAGCAAGACAAGACCCTGTCTCAGAAAGAAAAAAAAAAGGAGGAGTAAAGGAAGGAAGAAGAAAACTATAAGTGCATAAACAAAGTGGATAGCTAACGTATTGTACCGTCACCCATAATCCCCTGCGAACCTGAGACATTGGAGCTAGTGCTCAAAGCCATGAACGGAGCTGGCAGCTAGATAATCTGATAAATGCTAAGAATTACAGGTACAATGGTATTGTCCTACTTCATTATAAAAAAAGACAGCAAAGCTACTCTTGAAGGAGAACAATTAGGAAGAGCATGAGAACAGGCCAATTGCTACAAGCAGCCAGAATTAGGGAAAAGTTTCTTCCTTTTTTTTTTTTTTCAAGACAGGGTTTCTCTGTGGCTTTGGAGGCTGTCCTGGAATTAGTTCTTGTAGACCAGGCTAGTCTCGAACTCACAGAGATCCGACTGCCTCTGCCTCTCTGCCTCCCAAGTACTGGGATTAAAGACGTCACCACTGCCCAGCAGATTTCTTCCTTCTTTTGTTTGTTTTGTTTTGTTTTTTTTTTTTTTTGAGACAGAATTTCTTTATGAAGCCTGACTGACTGTCCTAGAACTAGCTTTGTAGACCAGGCTGGCTCAAAATCAGAGATCCGCCTGCCTCTGCCTCTCAAATGCTGGGATTAAAGGTGTGTGCCAGCACGGCCCAGCTCTTTATTTTTGACACTGTATTGAATTCTTTGTTTGTTTGAGACTGGGTTTCACTATGTAGACCAGGCTGGCCTCAGAAACCTATCTAACTGCCTTCTGGAATTAAAGGTGCGATCGATCCATCACATCCAACCTGTTTGTTTGCTTTTTGAGACAGGGTTTCTTGTATGCTCGGCTGGCCTCACACTTGCTAAGGAAGAAATGACCTTGAACTCCTGACCCTCACGAGGACTACACCTCCCAGATGGTGGGGCTACAGGTAGCACCACACACAGTTTATTTGGTGCTGGGGATGAAACCCACAGTGTCGTGAGTGCTGGGCAAGCTCTCTCTTAACCGGGCTACCTCGGCAACCCTTAAACTAAGATGAACTGAATTTTCACACAAAACTTTTTAGGGTTGAACTCAGAGCCTCCTCTTGAGTGCTTGTTAAGCTAGACTCCCACAGTATACACTAATTTTTACAATTAAAAAACTCGACAAAGGCATTCATTTCCCAATTCCTTCTTCTTGACTGGACTCCCACCCCCTTCTGCCCGCCCAGCCCTCCACATCACCATTCCTGCCCCATCTCTACTTACAGATGCAGGCAGCGGCCAGCAGGCGGCCAGCAGCATAGGGGGCGCCGCAGCTCGGGAAGAGGGGCTGCACCATGTAGTTGGCAAAGGTGATGGCGATGACGGCCTGGCTCGTGGGTTCAATGATGAGCAGAGAAGTCCAGAGGCGGATGAAGGCAAGAAATCCCCCGAAGGCCTCCAGGATATAAGCATAGCTGGCTCCAGATTTCTTAATGGTGGTACCCAGTTCGGCATAACAGAGGGCCCCAAAGACGGAGAAAATGCCCCCGACAGCCCAGATGACCAGGGAGAGGCCAAAAGAGGCACTGTACATGAGTACTCCCTTGGGGGAGACAAAGATGCCGGAGCCAATCATGTTCCCCACTATCAGGCACACGCCGTTAAGTAGTGAGATCTCCTTCTTCAGTTTTACCTGCTCGGCCACTGGGCTGGCCCCATTTCCCAGAGCAGAGGTACTTTCCTCATGCTGGGCAGCAGCTTCATACTTGGTGCTGTCGACCATGATGGGGAGGAGGAAGGTCTTCACCAGCTCGTTTGCATTGCCGTCTACGGAAGAAAGAATAGGTTGGTAACGCACAGCATCTCTCCCTCCTTCTTACTCCACAGGGACCAAGACAGTCAGCACCCACAATTCAGAGACCTTTCTCACTTCTGACTTCCCAAAATCATCTTCCCCCAAGCCGTGTCAAATGACTCCAACGTGACTTTTCCCCAAGAAGAAAAGCATAGCACCCCAGTCTCTCGTCCTGCGGATGCCTTATTTACCTGACAATTAAATCCTGACCTATTGTGACACAGGGCAGGCATAAGGCAGTTTAGTAGCTCTCCACATAATCATAGTGGTTTGAACTTTTTTCCTGCCTCTCCATCTCCCATAGCCCCCCAAAAAGCCTGTCTTCCCCCCATTTCAGTATCAAATGTCACTATGCTGAGATGCCTACATGGGGACCCAGCCCTGCGAGCGACTAATTTGCTAGACCTCTTTTTGCTGTTATGTTGCTCTCTCCCGAGGACTCTGCATGCGAGCCCCGAAGCTTTCAAAGTGCTCCTGCTAGGGACAGACAGCCACCTCCCTGCTCGGGAACATCCACTAACAAACCATTAACAAACGGTCAGCAGGCGTCTTCGATGGTGGCAAAGCCCAGGCAGCCCCACCCATCCTGAATAAGAGACAGGCAATTCTCTTGATGTCACTTTTCCTTTTCCAGATGTCTGTCCCAGCCTCTACCATCCCAGGCTTCCTGCCTCCAAATCACTCACATTCACACGTCAAACAGTAGGGATGATCTTTCAGAAGGGTGGCGGAAATACACAGCAGAACACACAGGTGACTGGAGGCAGTGGGTGGTGGCTGCCCACCCACCACAGAACTGCTGGAGACATACCACACCAAACCAAGGAAAGGGAAGCGCTAAAGCCAGGCAGCAGATGCTTGGAGATACAGAGCTATTGACAGCTGCACCAACTAGGAAGGCTTAGTCAGACAAATGGGGAAACACTAGAGCAACAGGCTCCGAGCTGAGGAAGTGAGTGGGCAAGCAGAACAGCAGAGAAGGGTTAGCAAGGGGACAGGGTGGGGCACACTTACTCCCTGGCTCCCACAGCAATGGCCAGCAGCAGTCACAGAGACAAAGGCGCACACACGCACCCCGCAACAGCAGTGGTCTGGCCCGCTCCTCCTTCCTCCAGCAGTCAAAGGGAAGCCTAGACAAATGCCTATCGGATTTAAATCAGGTCAAGAAGGGAGGAGGTGGTGAGGGAGCTAGAAAAGGAAGGGGTGAGGGAAAGGGAGAGGAGTGTTAAGCAACCTTCTGGGTCCAAGGTTCACAGGCCTTTCACATCTGCGAAAGGGGCAGCTAGGAGCTCTTGGCTCAGCACTTTCAGTGATAAGAAGACGCTCGCTCAGGAGTCTCCTTTGTCAGCTGTGCCCCAGGACAGGAGGCCCAGAGGGAAGGGACAGCCAACTGGGTGTGTTCTCTGCAAGTTAGCAAGGGCAGAGGAGTGGCCCAGATCCCTCCTCGAGTGTCCTCCATGTCCCACCCAAACCTCACTCTCTCTCACCCCAAACAAGAAAGGCAGGAAGGCTACAGAATGGGACACATTGTTCATATGCTGAGACTACAGGAAGTGTGAGAGCGGCTCAGATGCCCGGTGTGGGCGCCCAGGGTGGCGTGGGTGCCCAGGGTGAGAGCTCTGTACACTTCATGCAGACAGAAGGGTCACAGCCTCTAAACTCACGCCATTTCAAAAGAAATACGGTCCAGAAATGAGATCAAACTTCTGGGTGCAAGTCCATCCCACCAGTGTGTTCTTTACTCCTCAAGGAAATACACCTCTGTAGCACCCAAAAATTCCTATCAGGGGAGGCGGTGGCGCACGCCTTTAATCTCAACACATGGGAGATAGAGGCAGGCGAATCTCTGAATTCAAGGGCACCCTGGTCTACAGAGTGAGTTTCAGGACAGCCAAGGCCATGCAGAGAAACCCTGTCTCGATAATGATTAATAATAAGCGATAAATTAATAAGTAAGTATATACGTATATCTGGAGGGCTGGAGCGTCACTGAGTGGTAGAACACTAGCCTACCCAGACACGCAAACAAGTGTGGAAATACGGTTTCACTGAGCTACGCTAAGCAGGCCTGGAATAAACAGAAAAACTTCCACAACTTGGAAGTCACGGCTTATTCTATCTTTATAGTCTACTTTAAATCTGGTATTCCGAGTCCTTTTTGGCAACCTACCTGCTCTGAAACGGAACTGTCTGCCCCTTCTTCTATCCTTCCTACCCCTTTCTGGTTATTCTAAAGCACCCTGGAGGTTAATCTCTATGCTCACCTTCCCATTCTGGCCCCTTAAAATTTCTAGCTAAACCTAGATGGAATGCTGGGCTTAGGTCTTGCATAGACCCTGCCTGAGGATTGAGAGATGGCTCAGCAGTTAAGAACACTGGCCATTCTTAAGAAGACACAGGCTCAGTTTCCAGTACCCACATGGCAGCCCACAACCTCAGTTCTGATGCCTTCTTCCGGAGTCCATGGGCACTGTGCATACATGGTATCCAGACACTTGTAGGCAAAACACCCATACACGTAAAAAGGGTTTTTTTTGGTTTTACGAGACAGGGTTTCTCTGTATTGTTTTGGAGGCTGTTGGTCCAGCCCGGCCTCGAACTCACAGAGATCCGCCTGCGTCTGCCTCCCGAGTGCTGGGATTAAAGGCGTGCGCCACCAACGCCCGGCCGTAAAGTTTTTTTAAAAAATTAAAGCTCATGTTTCTCACAAGACAGTCCCACATACATCCGACATCCACGTGAAAGACACTGTCCTTTTCTCCCAGCATCCTCCAAAAGGCTTCCATAAAAGCAGTGCTAGCGTTGCTCGAGCTCTTGTCCTGGCCAGACGTACTGCTACGCATTTCAGTGCATTACCTCACTGAATTGTGAGCCCCATGAGTAGGAACCAGACACTCTGCTGGGTGCCAAAGTAGAGGGGAGGCAGCAGCCAAGATCACAGGACTAAGCTGTCTTCTCAACTTCCGGGCTCTCCAGCCCTTGCCGATTGCTCGGCCTTCCCTTTAGACAGGAGAGCACTCCAGGTGGCCCCTAATGAGTTACCTAGAGGGGCCTGGGATCTGATTGAAAAGAAAGCCCTTGCAGCCTGTAGGCGGCAGGGGGGGGGCGTGGTGCGGACACGGGACGATGGACGCACGGACGACACTGTCAGTCACTGCTTTCAGGCTGCTCCTCCCTTTCTCATTTTGGGTGAGGATGAGCAGTGACATCTGGGGTGCCCACTCCTAAAGACACAGAAGCACACCTGCCCTTTTAGGGTGGAAACACACTGGCACTAGTGGAGTACAAACTCAAACACGAAACCCAGAAAAGAAGAAAGGAGACAGGGAAGCAGGGGGTGCACGAGGCTGAATTCATGGCTGGCATAAAAGTGAAATTCTCAAGGAACTGAGTCTGATCAGCTCAGGACGGAACCCACACCCCAGCAAACAGCATGCCCTAGTGGTCTCACCAGGAAGTACTCCAAAAGGGTTCGTCTTCCCAGCCCTGCCAGTCAGGCACAGGCGGCTGCCATTCATGGAAATATCCCTCTTTTCTCAGTCACTGTCTAGCACCAAAGCCAAGAAGACACCAGCATTGGCAGCTCACTCTCCTCCCTGAGACCCTGGCTCTCAGTGTAACGCTTGCACGGTTCAGGCAGCCTGGTAAGGCAGCGTCCCCGAGGCTCTCCCAAAGGAGCTCAGCCAAAGCAGGTTTCACAGAAGCAAGCCTTCACACTCCTTGTCCTTTCCCCTCTCCTCTAGTGTGCTCATCTGTGAGGACAGCATGGCCGTTCCAGAAAAGCATACACTCATTCTGCAGCCGAGAGAAGTCTTCGATCCAGGGCGTCCAGGGAGCTGACAAGAGAACACCAGGCATGGAGTGCCTCACAGAGCAGCCAGCCAGTGTTCAACAACCGTGCTCCATGCTCCAACAGCAACACTGAAACACCCTTCCTCCAGAACCTGCACACAGTTCAGAGTCTTGACTCCTTAGCCAAGCTCCATGAGCTACTGTGAGAACACACTGTCTCCCCCTAGAGATCCCAGGGCTTGTTTTCTGCTATCCAGCTGGTCTGTGGCCCCCCTTAAAAACGAAACAAAACAGGTACCTGCTAGTGCAGATTCCTCATCCATCACTCCACAATAGCTGCTCAGGCCCTCCCTCTCCAGCTCTCGGTTTCTCTATATTCCACTATAACTAAGAAAGAAAGAAAGAAAGAAAGAAAGAAAGAAAGAAAGAAAGAAAGAAAGAAAGAAAGAAAGAAAGAAAGAAAGAAAGAAAGTTAGGAAGGAAGGAAGTTAGGAAGGAAGGAAGGAGGAAAGGAAGTGAATTAAAAAAAGAAACTGTTTACAATTCTGTCCAGGACTTCCCATTAACCCAAAGCTGAAGTCTCGGGCACAAGGCTCTACCTAGACAGGGCCAAGGAATAAGGTTCCTCGTCTCCCCTTGACCAATTTTCAGGTGCTCCATCCTCCTCCTGTGCTTCCCCACCTCTTACCTGTCTGGAGACCTTTGGGCAAGCGCAGGGAGGAGGAGGCTATGAGCCCACTGGGGTGAGGGGTGGCAGCTAAGAGAATCAGGGGTGTGACTTCAGCAGCTGTTGACTCTGAGAAGCAGAAAAGGCCGAGGGTGACGGGACTGAAATGGAAAACAGGAAAACACATGTGCGACTCTGGCCGGCAGTGGGGAGGGGCCAGAGGCCTGGCTGGAGCTGAGGCTGCCTGGTCGGTCAGGCTGAGAGGACCACAGAGCCTGCTGGCACCCAGGCATCCTCTCCTCGGCTGGGCTCCTCCTCCCCGCATCAGCCCCTGGTCTTCCTGGTGGCCCTAACTTTCTGAGCACTCCAGTGTACCCCACGATGTGCAGTGCCCTCCTGTGTTCCCTTTCTGCCTCCCCTTCATTCTTTTTCCTAACTCTCCTACCCTACCTACAGGCTGTACCCAGCATTTCTCCTCAAGCTCCCACTTTCAGGCCAGTAAAATTCTGCTGTCCTCTCTCAAGAGTTCGTGCCATGTCAGCCTCTAAAACAAATCAAGGAAGCCAGTGCATACCAGTGAAGGCCACCTGTGGGTACAGCCAAGTGTGTACCGAGATAACAAGCCCACTCACAGCTCAGATCCCTCACTGGCTGAGTTGTTAACAGTGAGTCTGAGTTGCTAGGTGAAAAAACAACTAGGCCTGTGCCACTCTGGGAACATTCCTCAGTTGGCAGTCTTTCAAACTACGGTTATTTAAATATCTGTTGGATGTTTGCTTTGCAGAAGTGGGAGAAATGTGATCTTGGGATAAAAAGTAAGAGAGGACTGAGAGATGTTTCTGCAGGTAAAAGTGCTTGCCATCGAAACCTGACGGGCTGATCCAAGCCCTGGAACCCACAGACGAAAGAAGAAAAGCAACTCCCAAAAGCTGGCCTCTGGCCAGACATGGTGGTACAGGCCTTAAATCCTCTAACACCAGCACTTGGGAGACAGAGGCAGGCAGACCTCTGTGAGTTCGACCCAGACTGGCCTAGCTAGTGAGCTCTAGGACAGCTGGGTTACATATACCTTGTCTAAAAAAACAAAGCTGCCCCCGGCACACTTGCATTGTGGCCCACGTGCACTTGTACACACATACATTCACACACAGGTACATACACTAGCAAAAAAATAAAAATAAAAAATGTCTAAAAACCATAGGAGCCTCTTCGTATTAGAGATGTCATTTTCAGAAGACACCTCTTGGTGCGGACGGTATAAGTCTCCGTCCAGGGGATACCTCGTGACAGCACAAGGAGCATTTGCACAATGCCAGGTGCAGTCCACACCCTGCAACTCACACCTGTGTTCTGCAAATTCTGCAAATTGCTCCCAGTATAGTCCAGGTAAATGCTCAAGAATTCTGACTAGGGACGAGAGAGATAATGCTGTTAAGAGCACACGTACTGCTGTCCCAGAAGCACCTCACACACATCAGGCCGCTCCTAACTGCCAATATCTCCAGGACATCTGACGCCCTCTTCTGGCCTCTGCAGGCACTGGCATTCCTGTGCAATACAATGCACAGCACATATACACACATAAAGTTTAAAAATAATTCTGGCTGCATCACTAGATAGGAGCCAAGTTGCATGTTACCAAAAGGGCAGAAACCAGAATTTACTAGCACCAGATCAGAATTATTCCAAGGAAAATGTGATGCCATTTTAGATCCAGGCTGCTCCCTGGCTGACCTGCCCTTTAATTGCACTCTGGGGACAGGTCCAGGTTATCAAGTGGTGGGGGGGGGGCAGAGGGGGCCATAGGAAGAGAGACAGAGTTGCTCCTGCCTTTTAATCACCGAAGTCCAGCCTCCCTGCTGGGACCACACAACAACCTCACTCCCACCACAGAGCTTTTGCAATGTCTGACCATTCTGCCTACTAGGAACATTCTTTTCTGTGACACTTCTCATTTGTTATTTGTGGGTCATCACCTCAGTCAATAGCAGATAAGCATCAGAAGAGCTCTGCTCACCACTGCACCCAGTGGGGAGGAAGGCTAACACAAGCCTCCAATATGCTTGCTGGTTAAATAAGTCAAGAGATGGACAATACTCCTCTCTGACTTCCCAGCTGGCTGGGGCTCCTGGGTGGGTCCTTGAATCTGCCCTCCAGGCCACCTAGTGTGACTACACTTAGGTTACCTAAGAGTAAAGAGAGTTCATAGATATTTAATCTTTTCCATCTTAATGACTCTAAGGGAGGAGTGTGGTTTTCATTTCTACTGACAGGCCTAAAACAGTCTGAAATGGACTTTCACGGCTTGGTAGCCGAGCACTTACCTAGCATGCACAAGATCCTGCCTGCCATCTCTAGCAGCCAGTGGGTGGGGGCAGGTATGAGAATTTTAAGGTTAGTTGTGGTAGCTCAAACCCAGCATTTGGGGGGGGCAGGAGGATCTGAAGTTCAAGACCAGCTTCAATCCATAATGAGTGTTAGGGGAGAGAGAGGAGAGAGACAGACAGACAGACAGACAGACAGACAGACAGACAGACAGACAGAGACAGAATAAAGGAAAGGGAAAGAGACAAGGAGGGAAGGACTGGAGAGATGGTTCAGTAGGTGAGTAGACTAAATAGCTAAGTAAGATTGATGGCTTGCCCAAGCGGTCAGGACCTGAGTTCTAATCCCAATGCCCTGGTTTAAAAAAAAAAAAAAAAAACTATGGGTGGATTGCTGAGTCTTGCTGGCTGCCAGCCTAGGCCCAGATAGGGTGAGAGACCCTTGTCTCAGGGAATCAGTAGAGTAATCGAGTGCGCACAACCTGCATCCTTTGACACTGGCACAAGCACTCACACACGTGCTCACACACCACACTCAACAAACATGCACACCAGAAATGGAATTGGCTTTTGTTTAGCTAATGGAAAAACGAAAAGGCCCACACCTACCGCTCTTTCCTCGGCCCCCATCTAGATGCGGCCCATCCCCCTCCATCAGCCGGCTCACCTTTGCCTCTTTCTCCCACGCTCCCTCCCCAGCCACTCTAATTTCACCGGGGCCCCGCGGGCACCTCCCTTTGCTTGGCTCTTCCTGATGGTCTGCTGCGCTAAAACCTGGGCTGCT